ATCAGCTTGCGTATGTGTACACACATAGTGTCAATACAAGCTGCTATGTAAACAAGGCCTGATGAATTTAAGTTATAGCATGTAGTTTAGCTGACATAGCAATTTTTAACTCCTTGTTTTTACATACTCATTATTTCTTTGCTTTTTATTATTATTGTTACTGATTTGCATTATAGCAGCACTTAAAGGTACAGGCCCTTTACTATCTTAGGTATAGTGTTTAGGAGGTATACCTACTATCTTAGGTATACCTATGATCTTAGGTACAGTGTTTAGGAGGCAGAAATGCTGTATGATGAGTTTCAAAGGCGTATCTCAACTCCTGGTGCAACATAATCTGAGCTTCATGGTCCCACACAACCCTGGCAACTGCCTGTGGGTACCATGCAAGGCACTGACACACACTGTTGCACTGGCAGGATTCTGGCAGTTTATAGTGCCCACGTGACATGCACAGCTACAACATTTACAAATTTTAAGGCCATTTCCTAAACGGCCTTTAAAGGCCATTTCTCTAGCCTGATTTCTTTCAGGTGTAATTTCTTACATAAACAGCTAACAAATGCACTGAATTAGATCTGTACTGTACTTAAGGGCCTGAAGCCTTGGACACTTCGTAGTGCAGCCTCATATGACAGCTTTGAGGTTTCCACAATTACAGCAGATCCAATCGAACCTTTCATCAACTGGTATAGCAAGCATAGAGCCAGGTTCACTATTTTTTTTTCAGTTTCTTCATGAGGAAGGCCTATAGACTTCATGTGTTTTTAACCAACTTCTTTATTTTATATATGATAAAATGGTAGATTTTTTCCCTTGTTTTCACACATATTATGACCTTCTCCTCAGGCTTCTTGCCTGTGTGCACATGGCACTGGAGAGCACTGGAGGCACTGAGCTGCGGGCTTCAGCTATACCAGGTTGCCAAAAAGGTTCTTTGACTGCACACACTTAGTCCAGTCTTTCTTGCAAGGTGCTTTGGTTGTTTGTCATAGCAAGAGTGCTTTATTGTTTTTTTTGTTTTTTTTTTTTTTTTTTAATTTTTTTTTTTTTTTTTAACTTCAGTAGCTATCAGACTTTCATGGCTATTCAAAAAAGCGTTTCAGTATGACTTACAGGCCTCAGTGGGTGTTTACCTGTGTCTCACAAGATCAGAAGAAAAAAAAAAAAGTCTTATATTTTCCTTTTTCCCCTCTCCATTTGGCAAAATAAAAACTCACTATTTCAGATCAGACTTAGATTAATTGGAGACTATAGTAGTATAATAATCTTAGCATAACTTTATTGCTGTTGACTAAGACAGTGTGAAAATTATCAAAAACTTTACTACAGATAGCAAGATATGGGAAGAGAACCTGAGACTGCCAGGACTTTAATATATTTGTCATTCTGGTGTGAATATCATAACCTCAGCAAAACTCCACATCAGAAAGGTCTAGAATAGGTTGCATAGTGATACTTACTATGAAGACAGCACAAGCATGGGACCACAAATTACATGATGCTCAACAGAGTCAAAGTATTTTGAAGTTAGGAAAGATCCATTTACTCAGGAGTGGGGGCGGGAGGGGGGTGAGTGAAATATATGCCACAGTATTAAAATTATAAATACAGTGGACAGTATAACTTCCTTTTACAGCTATTATCATCTCAATGAAATTAGTTGGAAACAGGATGAAGTTTTGGGTAAAGCCTCAAGGCACCCCAAGCCTTCTAATTTTCTTTCAGCACCCAAAACTAATAAAGGTGCTCATCAGAGACATAAAGCAACACTGGTGAAACTTGCCAGAGAAAGTGGGCATGGAGATGCTTCTCCTTTTCTAATAACAGTTTTAATAAAGATGTCTATACAAACTTGTGCAGACTCAGGCTTTCATTAGAGAGCTGCAATTGCTTATAGACCTCAACTTCCCCTGAGTTCAGTGAGAGGAAACAATCTCATGCTGGCCCAAGGCAACGACCAATATTATCTAATATGTCTTTTCCATCTTGTACCTCAGTGTTCTTAAGTATATCAGTTAGAGAATATATATAAACACAGGAGGGCAAGTATTTAGGCACTTGCTTTCTCTTTTGATGCAGGCAGCAGTGTGCACTCCCTCCCATCCATGCACATCAAGAGTTAGCAGGAGAAGCAGCATATGATCTCTCCAGCAGTGCCACAGGCCCCAGACCCAAGACCCACACGGAACCAGAACACCACAGCACCACCTGAATTGCCGACACCATTACAGGAGTATGGCAGACAAGGCCGTGGTCAACAACAGGTCCCACTGCTGCTTTTAGAGCAAAAGCCCAGATACTCCACATCACATTATCTGGTAAGATTTATCATCAAAAAACTCTGAACCTGGAGGAGGTGACAATACCAGATCTCTCACTTGCAATCGGTAGTGAGGGTACTTTAGGAGAATCATCACAAAAGTAACTTTGGATCTAAGTATTCAAAATTTTAAACAACTAGAAGATAAATAAAGCTATAGCAATACTGAAAAGGTTTTCTCTTTCAACAGGGGAGATTTGATAGATTGGAAGAACCAGTTAATAAAATTAGACTAGCCAACTAGATACAGAAAAATGTGGCTCTGAATGCCTGCTTGTAGCTTCTGCAAGTCTCCAGTGCTTGAACAGCAAGGTTCTAGTAGGCCTTATAAAACACAGTGTTTGTGACAGCAAGAAAGCTGAGTTTATCCAGCAGCCTTACCATCCTCATTCCCCAGGCTTGCCTTCCTGCTCCAACATCTCAAAGCTCATTTTCAAACCTTGAGAGTGTCCAATTCCCAGCCCAAGTGGACTAGGTACCAGTATCCCAGCACTAAGAGCATTTCTTGCCTCATCCCTGTTTGTATTGCCTGGAAACACAGTATTAGAATATTGACACAATCTGACATTTAAATCTTTATAGCTGCTCACAGGATGTCTTATAAAGAAGATAAATAAGATAATCAGTGATTCTGCTTTCTCATTATAGGTGTCACCATTCTTTCTGCCACCTGTGATAAGCATTCTGGTAGAGCACGAGCCCAAAAGGCTCCATCAGAGCGCAGAGCAAGAAACAGCAGCTAACAACATCTATATCCAAATATATTTAACTCTTACTTATCTTGATCTCAGACTGAGGAAAAGCAAGTTTATATATTTTCAGGATCTTAATGAGATTAAGGCTCATACAGGTTTGCTCTAGATAAGCAGATACAGTTCCAGGGTCTGAAATGGACTTGTGCATCCTAAGATAACAAATGTAAAAGATCAGATCTCATATCTAATCCTTAAAACTATTAGTCCATACTAACAAAAGTACAGGAGAAAAAGCAAGTCAAGTCCCCTACCTCAGGTCAGAGGCACAGTTGGGAATAAAATTTCTTCTGCTTTTTATGACCGTCTTCAACTTGCTCAGAGAGTAACACTAAGATTCTAGTTATGTTGATCTTTTTGAAGCATCTTATTTATGATTATAGTCAAACAATTATGTGCTCAGAGTCCACTTACACTATATGAAAGAAATGCCATCTTTTTGTCAAGCATTACAACTACTAAATATTACAATGCGAACTAATTGCTTTAATGAACAGTAAGAAATGGTAAGAAAATAAATAATAGACTATTTTCTCTGCCTTTTAAACTGCGACACCTCCTGTCCATCTCTAGTAATACTGGAAATGGATAAATCTGTAGATAGTTCCAAGTTTGTGGAGATTAACCCTTTGTATTGAATAGCAGAGACACTCATATTCATTTACTAGGAGAAAGACTGATTCTCTTTTAAGGCTAAGTCAGATGGAGCACTCCTATCAACACCACCACCTGCATACTGAAGCAACCAGGAGGCAGGAGGTATGGAGCAGTAAAAGCAACTGTCAGGAGATGGAATTGAGACAAAGAAGAATTAACAAGAGGGAGTAAACGCTTGTTATTCCCTTTTTTCCTCCCCTCCCTTTCTCCATCAATCTCTGTCAGAATAGTTTTATTACGTGGCATTTTCTCCAACCTTATGAACAACTAGAGAAACAGAACTGGCAGCACATGAGACTGAAACAATGACAAAAGTGTTTTCTTTTTGTTTGCTTGCCTTTTTTCCTTCTTTCCCAGCAAACCAACCTGGACAACAGCTGCTACTGTGCAGCGCATTCAAGAAACAGCCATCACAAGGCGAACAAATGTTGATTTAGGTATAACATGGAGACAAACAGCTTGGTAGCTAGAAAACCGCTAACGACACGATGTTGCTACTACAGCCTGTGTAGGGCATCAGCAAAATTGTACAGGTGAGACACATTACTCAGACATGTTACAGACAACACATTCTCCCCATTTACTCCCTTGAGTCTTAATATTTCTATTACCATCAGCTGGCCAAAACAACATCAAGAGAACAGTGTAGTCCTTCTCTGGCTGCCCTTCCATAGCTGTGCAGCTTTCATTTGCCAAACACAAATTTAACACTCTTTTTTTTTTTTTTTTTGTCTCTCTTACATCATTAAAGTAAGAATCAAGCAAGAGATGCCCCCTTCAGGGTACTGAGTAACAGGACGGAAGGGGCAAAGCCAGATGGTCTGTGTAAGTCTGTACTCAGCCAGCTCCTTAATGTCTACACTTTAAAGTACAACAAATGAAATTTCAGACAACAAGATGAAAACTGTTAAAAGCCCAAAGCTGTGGTCAGCAGATACCCTGTCCCCAGATTAATCACAGTCCCCAAAAGGTAAACAAGGAGTTGTTTGTAGTTTTCACACTATAATATGCACTTATCTTTCTAAACTTCATGTTGGACAAGGAAGGAAAAAAAAAAAGCTGTTACTACTGATACATCTCAAATATTATTATAATATTAATAATATTAACTAGTCTTTTCATTCTGACAGACCATTTATAATACAAGCACAGATCATTTAACTGGAAACTTTAGGAACAGAGAACAAAGAAAAAGAAGCATTAAACTGGAAGAAAAGCTAGTTACCTATGCTACCTTTTCTAACCAATGTGCCAGGTAAAATGCTTACCTACTTTCCTCACAGAAGCTTTTTACATCATCAGTTGCAAAGGCTAAGCATCTGGGATGGCCACAGCACCTCATGCTATGCATAGGAGAAACTTCATTGCCACTAGTAACATAGCACACAGTATGGCAAGGTTACAGCTATTTTAGCAACTGCTGTGAGAAAGAGGAAAAATTAATTTACTAAATGACCAGGGTTCCAAGGCCACTGCTAGACCCCCAATACATGCATATATAGATATATAGATATATACACCCACACACACCCCTCACACTAGGGCGGCAAAGCAGCAATCCCTTTGGCCCATCCCAAGATAATACTAAGAGACAACACCTGGTGTGTTTGGGGACAGAAAAATCAGTATTTGGTACAGCAAAGGAGTCCCTGGCTTCCTCAGGAGTTCACTTCAGAGTTCACTTTCAAAACAAAAAAAATATATATATATTTTTTAAATTGTTGTGCAAGAAGAAACACCCACAATACAAGCAATTTTTTTTCCAGCTCTGATGATTCACAGCAACTGAGATTACAAACAACACATATGTTAAGGTAATTTGGATCTTCACAGCCCAAGCAGCATTTTCCCAAATGAAAGGAAAATGATGCCCACTGGAGACCCTGGCCTCCATTAATTAATCTTTAGAAAACATTCAGCATCTCAAGTAAAGTCACTCTACAAAGTGATGATTTTTTCAAGTGTTTGCAGGACCACAGGGACTGAAGGAGAGCAAAAATGTGCTAGAAAAGGGGCAAAGTTGCTAGCTACTTTGAAGAAAACAGAGGGTGGGTTTCCTGCATAATTTGGCTCCTTCTGGTGTGAATCAGCTCTGAATCATGGGCTGGGTCATAACATAGACCTCTCCCACCCTTGGTTTTCCAACTTGTGTTTGCCAGGGTCCCTGCCCCTGAGAGTTTGTAACTAGATAGGAGAAAATAATGGCAGCAAAACAGGCAAAGGAGTGAAAAAATAAATAAAATAAAATAAAATAAAAGCAGAGTTTCCAGTTTTGTCTCTTGTGCTTTTAATTAAAGCTTGTGATACAGAGAGATTTCCTTTGCAGGTAGGAGTAGATGCTGACTCTGTGATCAAAGCATCAGACAACACACACTTCTTTTTGACGGTGTTTCATGATATTGCCAAAAGAAAAGGGAAGGGACTCTGGGGCAGCAAAGTTGGGCGAGGAGAATGGATGGGACTGAGGAAGAGGAGAGTGAGAGTAAGAGCCGAAGAAAGCTGAGAAGAGACAAGGTGAGTGGGAAGGGGTCACGGGAACAGCCAAGGCTCCAGCAGTAGTGAAGGGGCACAGCTAATGGGACCAGGCTGCAAGTGAAGGCAAAATAAGGAGTGTAATGCTGAAGGCAAGATATGACATGAATTCAGCAGGCTGACAGGCTCTTTGCTCCTGGTTCTGATGCCTCCTGGTGAAATCCTCTGCCTGGAAAGGCACTTTGCCTGAAAGACCTTCATTTTTTAGCTGCAGCAGCTTTGAAAGAGGTTTCTCTTGGCACTTAGGTCACCTGTCTTATAGCAAAGACAAGCCATTTACAGCTGCGAGGCTAGGCTCACAACCTGCACAAGGGTCTTCAGATTTCAGTCTGTTGTTTACATTAAAGAAGGAAAATGACAGAAAAGGGAGACATCCTGCACCGAATTATTAACAAGCTAGACTAACTCAGTGCTTGATGCAATTCCCTCATAATAATTACAGACTGCATCTCCCACAGGTTTCTGCTACTTAATCGAAAGCACAGATAACAGATTGTTCTGTTACTTCACTCCATAATCTTCACAGCAGTCAGCAATTAAGAGCATTAAGCAGAAGAGCAAAACAACAGGGAGAAAAAATGATGCTGATAGATAGGATTAAAAAAAAGTCTATTTTGAGTGGCAAGAAAAAAAAGTAGTAATCCTATCTGGACATCAAGAAAGGATCTAATCACAAAAATTATTTAGGTCAACCCTCCCTTGAAATGAAATTTGGACAGGTTTGGGAGACTCCACTTGTGAAAGGAAAATACTTTGCAAGGAAGTGGCTGCAGCCATAGGTACAGTAACATGGTTTGGAAGATTACGATACTCCCTGAATTCACAGAGTTAAGAATTTTTTTTTCTCATCTTCCTTAGCCATCTATGCACTGGAAATAGTGACCTATGCACAGTGCTGATGGATGTGATGGACAGCATCTACTGAGCCATCACCGAAATGAAAATGACCAGATTTATTTCTGTTGTCTGTGACCTGAAAGGATCTAGGAACAAAAAAAAAAAAAAAAAGAATACAACTAATAATCACATGACACATATGAAGAGTTATGGAGGAAGCTGTCACTATTTTCTGGGGAGAGACATTAGCATTAAAGGCATCATTAAGAATCTGACCATTTTAAGCTAGGTCATATATATATCACAAAACTCTATTATATGCCATTGGACCAAAGTCACGCATGAGAGATGTTCTGTGATTTATAATGACATGTCGGAATATAAAAAGAGAAAATGACTGGAATGTTGGGAGAAAAGTGAAAATGAAGGCTTCAAAAGTGTCCATAAATTGAAAATTCAGGTCATTCTTGGTGTATATATTTTCACATGACTGTCAGTATGGATAAGCCAACCAGTCTATGAAATTTAGCTAAATGAACATATAATAAAGCATAAGTTACAGCAGTAGAATAATGAGCAATAAATATGCTGATATGGTCAGTGTCTTTCAATCTCATTAAAAAGTCTGTATTTCCAAATAATGCACAAGTCTCTGATTAACACATCTTGCTGTATGCATATTTTCTCATCTGTGCATCAAAACACTTGGAAGCTGGCATGTGTTTTATGTCAGTTCAGGTTCCAGTTTTCTTGTCCTTATCAAATTAACAATCCATTTTGTTTGCAAATTAGCAGCATACAAGAAATAAATTCCACACATAAACTCAACTAGTGTGAAATAAAAGAGACAGTTTAATAAAGGTTTAATGAAACTACATCCAGGATTTCAGGGCCTAATTATTTATGGAAAAGAAAGTCAGGCTTCTTTGCACAAATTCAACAAAACAGCATTTGTAGCACTCTGATTAGAAGTGAAAAACAGAACAGAAAAACAGACACTGCTCTGCAGTGCCACCCCATGGCCCCGTCTCAGTAGTGACTAGTTACTCTCAGCACAGCCAGTTCCCAAACACAGTAGATACTTAAGGGATCTCCCATGTGGGTGAGTCTATTGAAGATCAGCTAGCTTAATGAGACATATTGAAGAAATAAATATGCAGATTATTTTAAACAAATATTCTTAATAAAATAAAATATTAATTCATTGAAAAATATTTTAATTATTGACCAATATTTAATATTTAATAGTCACCGAATCACAGAATGTTTAAGGTTGGAAGGGACCTCTAGAGATCATCTAGTCCAACATTCCTGCTCAAGCAGGGACACCCACAGCATGTGGCACAGGGTGGCATCCCTGTGGTATCATCCCACCATAATAGCTTATGGTTTATTAAATGATATTACTATGCTTATTCCCCATGTGACCACTGAGATACAAATAGGATGATCAAGAAAATAGCTTGTATCACACAATAATCTTTCCTTTGGAATTCCTACAGTGAAAGAGAGAAAAAATATATCCTTTGAATAACACAAATACATTTAAAAATATCTGATTCCTATATAATGTTAAAGACTTAGCAGCCATAGACTTCTATTATTTCTGGAGGACAGGAAGTACAGACACAGACAATGGAGTTCCCTTTCAGAGCTGAAGTTTTCTCTCTGATCTTTAGATTTTTTTTCTGTTGATATTTGTATTTCTGTTTAAAATAAGAGTAATATTATTGATATAAACATGCCCACTCTCCCATAATTATCTGAATGCACTACAAGGAGTTTACCTTCATGAAGATTTAAAATAGTCGTAATTCTAGTTATTTAATGTAGCGTAAATATCTAGTGGAAATTAAGACCTGTGTTGTTTTGCATGAGTTACCAGATAAAATCTACAAAGTAGATGACAATTTATATCCACCACAGAATGAACTGAAAACTACCACCTGATCTGCATTAGGATTCCATCCCTAGTCATTCTGAAGTTACTTTTTCCTTAGGAAATCCACTCTCAAAGTGCTTCCTCTCTTCCAAGTTTGTCAAACAGTTAAGGCTTGGTTCATGTGTGTATGTCTCTCTCAATCTGGCTGATCATTGCATCTGGTCTGACACCTACTCATTTTTGGCTTATTCCCTTTTTTGAACTAGCTGTTGAAGAAAAAGATTTAAGGCTGAAAAAGTATTTTGTTCACAGATCAAATTTGAGGAAATAGCTCTTTCCCCCTTTCTGGCACGTACCCTCAATTTATTTGTCTTGCTTTGGCTTGTTCCAAATTGACAGGTTTTCTTAATCCCCTCTAGCAATGCCGACACTCCTTCTCCATACCTGTTTCAACTTGTTTGCAAGCTGAATTTATCTTCCTAAGCATGGGTCACTAAATTTTTATGCTCTATGTCAGATGAGGACACGCTGCATTTTCTATAATGACATTAATACTCACACAATCTTTAATGAAAGTACTTCACCTAATACATTATAACTTTTATTTGCTCTTTTTAAAGTCCAATAGGAAGTGCAAACAATGTAATAGGATAGCAAAACCTCTTAGCAGATACTAAAGATGGTACTTTTTTTTTTTTGTTCTTAAGCACTTACTCTCTGAGAGAAAAGATGCAGTCTTTCTTTTTGAGAGTGTTTGCCACCAAAATTTTGCTAGGAAAAGTCTAATTTACATGAAAGTTTTGTTCCCATGGGCAGCAACAATACAGGAACCACAATAGACCTGAGCATAAATATATTTCAGCAGCATTAAGGAACACAGGTGGAGAGATAACATATAAGGGCCAAATCACTACAGGACTGGGTTCATTTGAACCCCACAATATCTGTTCTTGTCACTAAAGTCTGCAGGTAAGTCAGATCCCTGGGGCTGACCCAAGACATCCTCAACTAAGTGGAAATATTTACTCCATTTTACCTAGGCCTTCAGTCAGGCCCAGTGAGAACTACAATTCAACCTCAGATAAGCCATAATAAATACAGTGCAAGTGTTTAGGAGCTGTTGGAACTTCAGCTTTAGATACCTGCAAATCTGTTTTTCACAAAGTATTTCAGAGAACATCTGGATTCTAAAGTTAAATAAAAATGAAAGTT